CACATTTAAAAACCACATCATTTTGCTGCACAGCTCTTAGGAGGCTGTGCCACCTACACCTTGCAAGCTACTAAGCATCGTTCCCTAACTAGCAGGACGTGTCATTGCGCTCGAGGTTGACATGCCCAATTTCTGCGTATGGCCGCTATATAAATAGTCAGAYACACGGGCTGGTATCACAGCCAGCTGGCAGAACCATTATCAAAACTCTCACCTCGGATGWCTGCAATACTGGACTCTTCAAACAAATAAATACCGCAAAACTTTTCAAAAAACTTTTGCAAGTAATTCAACACAACAGATGGCAACGGGAGTTTGAGCCAGAACATCCAGAGTCAAAAGCTGTATCTTTAATTAACGACTAGTAACGTTTTCAGTACTAGCTACATTCCAGTCAGATGACTCACAAAAAACCTTCAAGAAACTGTTCCACAGCTGTTCCTTGGATTTCCAGACAGACAGCGTGTTTATTACAAAAGAAAAAAAAAAAATAAAAAGAACTTCTTTTCTCTGTCATGGAAAAATACTGGTCAGCAGCAAAATAGAGATGTTTGGTAGAAGTTATATTTACCAAACAGCATTGGACTTTTCCCTAGAAAATTATAGCAGAACATGCAAGATGATTCAGATATTTTAGAAATGCCCTTGAACACAATTAATGCTCTAATTAGAAATATGTGCCTAGAACAAAATATGCACCCACTCCACAAAAAYCTCTGGTCTACTGCTATTATATGCAATTAAGCAATGTATAACTATAGTGATATAAAAATTGTGTTTAATTAGAAYTAAAAACATAAAATCAAAATGCCATGAAAATTATTTAGATTCACTTTTGTGGATGCAAAAGCAGTTTCACTCTTGTTGAAACTATAGATTCAGGTTAGCTAAGCCTCCAAAATATATGGGGGAAAAAAAAGTAAGTTTTACTTGTTTCTAAGAGAGTAAAARCCCTTGCAGACACAAAAGCAACTCCTTAGGCACTCTCCGGGGATYGCTTTCTGTACATGACATTGTATAGGAGCCGCACAGACATAACAAAGCAAATTCTGGACAGAGGCGATACTGTGCTCTTCCTTGCAGTCCCTCTGTAATGTCGAGAAGGTGGGACAGAAGGCTGCATTACAGGAGAGCAGTTTATATTAATATAAACATTTACAGCCAGCACTGCGCATTTCTCTAGATTGTTGTTAAAGCATGACTAATATTTAACTATAAAAGGCATTTGTTGGTATTTGGTTATGGGTTTACCTATACCCATAATTTTCTGCATTAATTAAGTGTAAATTCCACTACTATAATAGTCACTCATTTCAAGTTTTGCCATTCATACTGGCAAAACTTAATAGTTTTCAAAGTTGTCACATACTTTCTTCTCTCTAAAATTCAAGCTATTTCTACAGTGATATTTCATCAGCTAATCAAGGATCTACAGGCTACTCCCAGTGTTAACACCTAGCAAATTATTCAGAGAGAAGTAGCATATTCACAGAGAAAAATAAAAAGAACAGGAGACCATTTCAGTCTATGAGGGGCAATGAAGCAGAAGTCCAGAATTCTCTTGTTGGCAGAACGTGTTTTGCAGGGAGATAGGTAGATAGGTAGGCGCACAACCTTACACCCAACATGGGATGGATCAGGGCTGCAGCCAGCATGGCCTTGTGGTTAAGGTCAGTACATAGCTATAGTGCAGGAAAACTCAGAACACCCTTTTGGCCAATATTAGCCAGTATAGCGGAGGCAGCGCGCCCAGAGCAGAACCAAAAACAGCTCTGCTTTCATCGCGAAAATCCCTTTTTTTTTTTTTCTCATCCAAAATTATATCAAATTATATCAATATGTATATATCAATATATCAATATATCAAATTATATCAATATGTATATATGATATTTATATATACATATTTGTATACCCAGTAATACCTGTGGATTTTGAAGTGCCCTGAATATTGTAAGAATTAATATTTCTCCCGGGAAATGCCTGTGTGCTATGTGAGTGTTCCCTAGCAAGTTGCTATGTTGCTCAGTTGACCCTACATTCAGAATCCTGATGTTTAATTTTGTTCTTTATGTTTTTTTTTTTCCTTGTGAGGTGCCTTTTCTGTCTTAGGTACTTTATTTACATTACCATATGGGTTAATGGCATATTAAGAGTAGCTATTAACTAGTGTGCCATCTTATGGCACACTTATGAGAAGGCTTCTTCTCACAGTGACTCTTTACAATATATGAATATTACAAACTTTTGTATTCCACTATAAAAATACAAGAGAGAAATGTTCAGTCCTTGTAGCTCTCTGAAACTGTAAATTTGTCTGGATTTTAAAAATGTCCCAAGCCATCAGCATTGTCTATACTCATGTAATGCTCTAAGCTAGTTGGTCTCTAAAAACTTTATTACTCTTAAGTGGTATAATTTTATTTTGGTGGAATTATAGAACTTTAGATTGTAACACCTCAAAAAGCAGKTTTTTTTTTCCTGGAGACTTGATTTTTTTCCATCTTCTCTGAAACATGACAAGAGAGATATGGATAGACAGATTATAGCAAAGGTAGACTCCATGCTCTTTGTGCTTTTCATTTGTTCCTCCTTTATCCTACTGGACTTGTGAAAATGAATGCATTTTGGAAGACTTTCCTGAATGTCTTCAGTGTGTCTGATAAAGAATAGCTGCTTGGACTAGGCATTTCATCCTGATATCAATATCCATTGTTGATTTTTCTTGCATATATTTATCTAGAATGTCTTCTTTCGCAGTTGAATAACCCTAAATCGATCCTCGTTTGTGATTTTGCTGTGCACTTCATACTTCCTAATCAGTGATGTGACCTGCTTTATGTGGGCAAAGGTCTTTGCTGTTGAACTTGCAACCAGAATTTAGGCAGTTCCTGCAGGTTCCATGGCTCTTTTTTGCATTCCTCCAGGTCAGTTCTCTTTTTTTAATGTACTTTGCTGGGGGTTTTAGGCTGTCCAGTGCAGCTCGGCAGCTTGCTTGCATCATCTGATATGAATGTGCTTGCCCATGTGATCACTTGGCAAGCCACTCACAGAGCCAAAAAGCCACAGTTTAGGCCTGGTCTATTATGCTGACTAGAGTGTGTTTCAAGCAAAACCCTAACATGTCTTCCAGCAGTTTTATCTTGATAGTACATAAATATGATCTTGTATAAAACTGTTATCAGGGGCTTAAAGGCTCAGAGTGGGACTCAGCTGTGAAGATGAGATTTTCAGCTCACCCTTTAGAGCCTCCAGAGGCCTTAAGTCTGACCGTAATGGAGAGCTCTTTTTCAGTCTGTTGTGTTCTTTTGTTCTAGGGAGATGGTAAGGTGAGAAATAGCCTGTTCTGTGTTTTGTTGCTTTCCTTTTAACAAGATCAAAAGAAATTGATTCTTTTTCGTTTGCAGAAGGACACGGCTGAACCTCTCAACTCTCTTGTCCTGAAGAATTCTGTGCGTGGGTTCAAGGATCCGTTTTGTAGCACTCCAGGTAGAAAGAGTATTTATATAATATTTTTAAAATGCAGACTGGAAATTTTTCAACATTGTGGGTTTTTCACTTACTATTTTAATAAAAATGCATATRTAAATAAGATTTATAAAGTTACTCATGTTAAATAGCATCAAAATCCTTGTTCCTGTTCCCTCTTTAAAAAGTTCCATAGTGGTAAAAAGGGCTTCTTTATAAAAATGGCTGCCATGTAAAATGGCTTCTGTGTTGTACTAGTTTTTATAGCTTTGTTCTTCTTTTTTATTTTTCACTTCAGAAAAAAAAGTCCCAAATTTGGTCCTTTTTTTTTTTTTTTAAGGATTGGAAAAATCTTTTGAAAACAAATCAGTAACCTTGTAAACAAAGCACTAACCTTTTTTAGAACACTGCCTATAGAACTGCTTTTTATAGTGCTCACAGGCACATATCCTTGCTTACAGTTTCCAAGCCCATTTGCATTGATTTTGAACAGCAGCAGCACTTTTTTTTTGGTGCAAAAGTTTAGCTCTTGCTTGCAAATTGGAGGACTGACCCGCATAGGCTTTTGTTGTAGAACAGGAAGACTTTCTGATTTCATTTGTGAATATTGCTGTTATTAAAGTGTAAAGAAAGTAGAAATTATCATACATGCATCTTCCATACTATTACAGTGGAAATATTTCCATTATACTCAGATACTCAGATTATCTCAGATTGAACAAAATTGCACAACTGTGGTACTTGTGTTATAATATTGCTATATTTTAGTATATTTCAAATCCACGATAAATTAGGAAAGTTTGTAAAGRCAATCATAATTGGAAATTAGAGTGTTGAATGATCTTCTATGGTTTATGCAGCCATTTTGATATTTTGTGGGTTTTTTTTAATTACAGTAGGCAGATTGATAAAGACAGGAAAAAAAAAGACTTACCATCACATTCACGAAGAGACCTTAATGAGCACAAGTATCCTGACACTCCAGGATTATAAATGAAAGGAAAAATCTTTTTAAGTTTATCAGATTGACCTTTCTTCCTGATACACCAGTTTTTCACAAACTCCTAACGCAGTAATGCAGTTGATGATAAAKGTGATGTGGCTAGATCTCCTAAACAGACTACCTGTGAGTGTTATTTGCTTTCATTTACTTTTCAAGATGCCTTGAGATAATTTGCTCCCATTCTGTTAATGGATGGTGTGTGATGAATGATTTAGATGACCATGTTGAATGCAATCATGTTGAATCCCCAGGTATTCATCATTCCAGTGCATGGGTGGGAGCAAAACATATTAGCTGTTACTCCATACTCCTTTAAGGTRGGGAAAATAATTATGCGGTATACAAATGACTGATAAAATGCTTTATCAGACATGAGTTACTGTGTATATACATGCTTAAAGGTGATTAGAAAATGAATTCAGTTGCATATATGTAGCTATTCACAGACATAGTATGCTAAATATTTAGAAATGTTGAGGGAGTAAATGCCAAAATCAAAAGTTGAAAGTTAAACTATATTTTAAATGCAGATTCAAACATTTTATTTAAAAGTAAAATTTAAATATAAAGTAGATTTTAAAGCAAAATGTATTTAGACTTTCAGATAGGCTGTGTGTATGTCTACAGCAGTTGTATGGAAAATCATTGCTGTAGCCAAAGTTACAGCTTCAATTTGGAAAGGGGAAAAAAAAAGAGAAAAAGAGAAAGTTTCATAATCACAAAAGTTGTGGCTTGAGGAATGTGGAATTATTATATACCAAATCTTACAGTATTCAAACTGGATGGCACCCAGTTAAAGTAGTAAGAGATCAACTTACTTAAAAGATGATCATAGAACCATGGAATAGAATCATTATGGTTGGAAAAGACCTTTGAGATCCTCAAGTCCAACTGCAAGGCCCTCACCACCATCCCTGCTAAACCATGTCCCTAAATGCCTCACCTACACGTTTCTTGAACCCCGCCAGGGACGGTGTCTCCACCACTTCCCTGGGCAGCCTGTTCCAAGGCTTCACCACTCTTTCAATGTAGAAATTTTTCCTAATATCTAACCAGAACCTCCCCTGGTGCATCTTGAGGCCATTTCCTCTTGTCCTATCGGTAGTTATTTTGAAGAAGAGACTGACCTCCACCTCACTACAGCCTCCTTTCAGGTAGCTGTAGAGAGTGATAAGGTCTCCCCTGAGTCTGCTCTCCTGCAGACTAAATAACCCAGCTCCCTCAGCCGCTGCTCATAAGGTCTGTGCTCCAGGCCCTTCACCAGCTTCATTGCCCTTCTTTGAACATGCTCCAACCCTTCCAGGTCCTCCTTGTAGTGAGGGGCCACTGCTTTACGCAATGGGCCTTGAACTGTTGGAGTCTGTGGAGTCAGATAGTGCAAGGAGAATCGAAAAGAGGTATTTTTGTCAAAAAGAAAAGCAGATAATAAAGCACCAAGTTAGTAAGGACTTTCTAACATTCTAATCCAACAACTGTGGGGGCTATGGGAGTGTGCTGGAAGAAACTGGCCTGACTCCTGTGTTGCCCCTAAACACCATTTCTTGTTCCCAGTTTTAAGTAGGGTACTGGGTGAGATGGATCTCTAGTCTGACCTGGCAGGACAATTTTTGTGTTCTCAATTTTCATACAAAACATTTTTTTTTCTTCTAAAAGCATTTCTTTCTACTAGTACCTGCTGGCAACCTCAAAGGAACTTATGATATGAAAAAATATAAGAGGAAAGGACTTTTCCCCTAAATTACATTAAATTATTCTAATTTTGTCTTCATTTTTGCTTTTCAAATACATTCTGATTATCAGTATGAGTTTCTTGTCAGAAGGTACAAACAAAAATAGCTGATATTTACTAYAAAATAAAAATATATCATGACTGTTGCTTTGATAGCTTTTGAGTGCTTGCCAGAGATTAGATTGTAGATATAAATTTCTTTAAATAACTTCATGTTAGGTAGCCATAGCCTGACTTGTGCCGGAACAAATCAGATGTGAAATAGTTGTCTTACTTATTTTGGAATTCTGAATGTAAACTAGTTCATGGATATTTTAAGAGTATATTTTCCGTGCTGTCATCAGCTGTAATCCTCTCTTCCTCCAGTTATTCAGTGTATCAGCACTTATTCCTCAGTGACATGCACATTTTTCTGGAAGATATTATCATTTGCATTACACTTAGAGAACAGCAAGACAGCTAGTTCCAAAGTGCTGTCTTTGTTTCTTTCTTTGTTTGTTTCTTATCTGAAGCACTATTGAGAATTCCTTAATTTTCAATAAATCAAGAACACATTGCATGCGACTTACTATATTGCCGATTGTCGGTGGTAATTTTATGGTAATATAAAAGCCAAAATGCTTGTCTATGTGTACCAAAACTATGTAACTCTCAGTGATTTTAGTCATTAATTTGGACCAGAAGCTCTTTCAGTATTACCTTCTTTGAGTATTCAGGCACAACGTAACTTTGTTTGTATCTGTGATATTGTACCTGTGTGCGAAGTATATTGGAATTTCAAATAGTGAAATCAGAAAGAATTGCTTTTAAATAAACAAGAATTAGCTCTTTAGTGATATATAACTTTCCAGAATATATAAGAATATATTATATATAAGAGAATATATAAAAGTATATAAGTATATATTATATAAGCATATAATATATAAGCATATAATATATAAGTATATAATATATAAGTATATAATATATAAGTATATAATATATAAGTGTATATATATGTATTTAAAAGTGTAAGCATATATAAGTCCAGAAAGAAATTCAGATAAGCTTTTAAAATATTCTATAAGCATTCCTAAGGATTTTATTTACGTGAAACTTTACTAAAATGTCCATTCCAGTCATTTACATAAATGTCCATTTTTTTCTAGATTATCAATTTAATTGGAAAAAACAACAAAAAAAAGTTATTTGTCTTGTGATGCATCTGAAAAGTATTTGAGTGTTTGCTTTAAGGGGAAAAAAGAACTTGCCCACTTTAGAACTTTCAGCAGATTATTAAAAAGTTAGTGTAGAGTGTGTACMGATATGCCCTCAAGATGAAGCAAAGCTGTCAGTTTAAAAGGGATTTTCTTTTTTGCATATGTCTATGTTTGAGTCAGTATTTTACATATGCAGGTTTGGGGCAATCCAAAACTTAGGTCTTTCTGCTAGGCCAAAAGTATTTGACAGGTGCCTGATAGGACTATTCCAGTATCTGCAGACATTTTAGTTCTTTTTCCCAATAAAGGCATGTCYGTTCTTGTAAGGAAGATAATCTTTCTTAAAGGAACTACTGTCTTTTTGCCTTTGGCTGAGGCATGTGATCCAGCTAAGATGGTATGGAAACTTGCTAGGCTGCTCATCAAGAGAAGCAGAATTTCACCTGAGATGAATAGTCCTGTTGATCTTTTTCCTAGTGCTTGTCTGAGGTGATGATTATCTATAGCACTGCTTGGCACAAAATTGACTCCAAATGTGCACTATACGCGGGGTCTGCAGAGCATTCCTCCAAAAGTCCTCAGGACCATCTGCTAATGAGAACTCCAAGATAATGTGCTTCAGGACTTCATTTCAATTTTCACTTCCATCTGTTCTGATCGTTAGACACATCTGATCTCTCTGCTGGAAAGGCCACGTCTGACAGGGAGGGAAGGGGTGGCCGATGCAGCTTTACGCAAGGACTCCGACCCTCCTCCTGTCCTCCCCTCGAAACTGAGCAAGAGGTGTCTGTATCAGCAGCTAACGCACACGAGAGGGTTGTTTTCTTTACATAAATATAAAGCAGTATGTTTGTTACCACCAGGTCTTTTGTGAGTTTTGAGACTTTATGAACCGTCACTTGTAGTATCACAATAGTATCACRATAGTATTGTGATGCGTCAACCTAGTACATCAGTAGTCATTGTGATAGGCTTGCTATTGAGCAGATGGAATAGCCATTCCTAATGGGTAGGAAGCAGTCTTTTGCTATCAAATATAAGTGGTTGTGGAGTCCCTTCTCTRGAGGTTTGTAAAACTTGCTTGGAC